CTATGGAGAAACCCTATGGAAGGCCTCTATGGAGAAACCCTATGGAAGGCCTCTATGGAGAAACCCTATGGTTCCTCCTGTAGATTAATATACACCTCCAGTATATTAATCTACAGAATAATAATCTCAGTCTATTAATCTCAGTAATCTAGAGTATAATAATCTCTCTGCTCCCCTCCACTAGTCAGAACTGAAGATGGATGAGGGGAGAAACATCTAGAAATTTCACGTTGCCTAAAGTGAATTTCCAAGCCTTTAAGAACCTGTTTAGTCGTTTTAAGTGAAGCTGCTGTTTTTCATGTCAGATTACAGGTGAAGGCAGCTTTCCTCAGAGCAGCTTGGACTCAGGAGCTCAGTCCTTCTGCTCCATGCTGGGTGGAGCAGACCGACAGCCAAGCCGTCCTTTCTCTGTCTGTCTTTGATCTCTGAGCCTGTCATGGCGGCGGGCTCTGTCCTTACCAAACGCCGCGCGCTCCGAGGCCTTCACTGGGGCTCCTTCCTCAGAGCAATTAGATCTATTGATGAGGCAAACCTAACTGAGCTGTCATGGTTCTCAGCGTCCCAGGAGAAGCTCCAGTCAGCCGGTCTCCAGCGTCAGCACATTACAGGGTCCCTGGGTTTGCCCCCCCATCACTGGGCTACAGCCGTGACGTTTGACATGGGGGGGGGCGTCTTCCTGAGGTCATTTTTTTAATCACCTGATCAGCATTTCCTTTTTTCTATGAAGAGCGAAGCTGCAGATGCTGGTCCTGGATCTGTTTGCCAGTGCGTCTCCCTGGCCTCCTTATCTCTGCTAAGATTGGCTGCCCTGCCATCCTCTGAGTGCTGCAGATGGACAGGTGGAGATAGTGACCATGAAGTGGCGCCACTCGTGTCTTTTATCTCCCCGTCCTCCAGGCTCCGGTCTGGCCTCATCCAGGGCCTTCCTCTCCTCCTGTTTTTCTCTTTCAAGCTGCATTTTTAATCAGGCTGGGTCATCCAATATAGAGCCCTGAGACTGGAGACTAAGGCCTGTCAGTCACACACTGACACCCCCCCCCTCGCAGTGAGGAAGAAGTGTTAGTCTGCTGCTGGGTTCAGGAGACGCTTCTATAATGGTAGCTTCTCTCTAACTGGACTCTGTTTAATGGCTGCTGGCCGATGCAGATCTGACCTAGATTAAACGATTAGTTCTGCCAGTTGGAACAGAGTCTTTTCTGTTCCGGACGCTCAGCAAGACGCACTTTGACAAGGAACTTATGGTGCTGCTGTAATTCCTCCTGAGGTCAAATGGACTCTTTCTCCTGGATCACTTCTCAGCAAAGCTGCCAAGCCCTGGAGGGGGCATGCTGGGGATGCTGGAGCCCCTCTCTGGGTGCAAAGCTCAGAGATGGAAGGTGGCGGTCCGAGAGAAGAGAGACGGAGGAACAGTTATGCTTCTCTGGTCCCAGTGCGGCACGCCTGGCCGACCACGCAGGAAACATCCACCCTGGATTTATCCGCTGCTGTTAATTGGATGTAAATGTTAATGCAATGAATCTCCCTCATTATGCAGCCAGTTTCGATACTCATGGCGGCGGCGGCGGCGCCCGAGCCCGTCACCGCGCCGCGTCCTCATCGCTCTGACACTACGAGAGACCATTATCACTAATTTGACAAACTCTCCTACCAGTTAGACCTGGAGCACTGCAGCGTGAGTCAGAGGCGGCTGTAAACACGGCCAGCCTCGGCCCGCGGCGAACACTACAACTAATTAAACATTTCCAATCATGGAGCGAACCGCCATGCTGTGGCTGCGGGGGCGGGGCATGGCGCTCCAGCATTCTGCATCACGGCCTCTCAGCACTAGTTACTGAATACGAGGGAGCTCAGGGTGTCCGGGGGCGGGGGTCTGCAGACACCTACCAGCCAGGAGGCACTGATAGTACTGAACCAGGTCCGAGGCCAGAACCAGGGGGTGGCTGGAGTTGAAAGGAGGCTGCAGCTCGTTCCACTGCGGAGTCCTGCAGAAGAAGAAGAACGTGAACGTCGGCAGTGCGGCCATATTGGCGGAGGAAGAGGCGAGCGGCAGTTACCTGGCTAACGTCCAGCACGCTCTGGGAGAGGTGCTCAGCTCCAGCGGCGTCTCATCGCTGATCTTCTGCGCAGTGCTGATCGGCCGAGGCTCCAGGACGTGCTCCACCACGTTACCGTAGCAACTGATTATGTACAGCGAGTCCACGACCGACTGGCGGGACTGATCTGTTGGGAAGCCATGATGCAAACCCCACAGTTGGACATCAGGCTGCAGACGTCTGGAAAGAGGTCTGAAAGAAACGCACCTTTTTCTCTCTTCATGTTGGGGTTTGTGATGAACCAGGAGCGAGACGAGGCGAAGATGGCGGCGACGCAGAACTCTCCACCGCTGGACTTGCTGGGGGAGATCTGGGGGGGCGGTTTGGCTTTGCTTCAGGAGGAAGAAAGAGTCACAATTTAGCAACAACAAAAACTGAAAAATAAGGATTCAAAGATTTGATTTGAGTTCAGAGTGGCTAAAAAACCCTGAAATGTTGCATCTAATTCATCTGAAGCTGGTTTCTGCTCTGATGGCCGCCGCAGCCCTTTGACCAATCAGGAGCCGGGATCAAAGCTTAGCTCCCTAAACCCCCGCCTGCTGGGAGATGTCAGCCGAGAACCTGGTGGTCAGCAGCTCCTTCACTGCCAGGACCAGCCTGACCTCCTGATGCTGACGGGCGGCCATGATGCCTCAGAGGGCCGATCCCACCAGCTGAGACTCAGGAAGGAGCGTTAGATGTTTCAGCTATGGACCACTTTTTATAGCAGATAGAATCCAGAAACATCAATAGGACTGGAGAGAACTGGGGGGGGGGGATTCTGATTCAGACGGCAGGAAACAGATCCATGGAGATAACCGACCTGAGCAGCTTCCTCCTCTAACAACATCAACATCGACTCAAAATGTGAAAACATTTTGAACTGAAAAAGCTTCCTGGATGGGAAGCAAAACGTCTTCAAACCTTGGAAACAAAGTCCAGTGGATTGGTTTTTAAACTTTTAAGGAATGACTATGACCTGGATGACTGAGGATCTTCACCAGCATGTTACCATGACAACTACCCAACAGCTTCTCCTTCTGACATTCACCATCATTCACCATCATTCACCATCAGCGTGTGGAGGATACGCTGGGAGGAGTTCCATCCATCTTCTGACACGCTTTATCCCTACTGGGGTGGCGAGGGGGGCTGGGTCCTATCTCTAGCTGTCTAAAGGTGAGAGGCGGGGTCCACCCTGGACACCCTGTCCCACCTGGACAGGTCTCCAGTCCATCTCAGGGCAACACAGAGACAAACAGGACAAACAACCGTTCACTCCCACCTAAGGAGGATTTAGAGAAGCCAGTGAACCTAACAGTCATGTTTTTGGACTGTGGGAGGAAGCTGGAGTACCCAGAGAGAACCCACCATGCTCAGGGAGAACATGCTAACATGCAGCAGTGCTACCCACTGCGCACCTGGGAGGAGTTCCTCAGAGCTTTATTCTAAATTATTCTGCTGACGCCTGGTCTGCTGCTGAATGAAGGAGAATGAGAGGAAAGAGCAGGATTCTTCTTTCATTGGTCAGCGCCGGGCAGAGAGCAGGAGAAGCTAATATCTATGGGGGGGGGGGGCTCAGGATATTGCTTTGGCTGAATCCTCCTCATGTCCTCTCCTTCAGGCTCTTCCACATATTTCACCTCTAAAGGCCTTTTCTCTGTCTGGACCATCCTGGAGAGGAAAACTAAACATCTCATTCATGAAGAAGCAGCTTAGCAATCCCAGCACGTTGCCATGGAAATGAGGAAAAAAGATACCCTTCTCCAACGGCTCACCTAGATTTCAGATTTATGGTTCAGGGACAAAAAAATCTTTCCTTGGCTTTTCAGTTTATTCCTGGAAAAAAGCGTAGCGTCTGCAAGGCGATGCGGTTGGCCAGCTTCAGCAACCCGTAGGACACAAATCTTTCTGGAGTCAGCTCACGTCCGTCTGCAGGGCTGAGCAGGTCAAGCGGGAGGAATATTCCACATATGGCCTTTTAATTTAGACCCAACAACTTTCTGCAATCACCGCTTTACAAAGAGAGCCGGCTGCTCTTCTTCCAGCAGGATCCTGACGAGAGCTCATGATATACTGACCAACATGCCACCGCATACAGAGCGAACATACATTAAAGAATCACACCATGGATATAGTTAGAAGGCTGCAGCGCTGGCTCCCCGCTGTGGTTTCATAGGCTCTTTGAAGAGGCCTCAGCTCGCACCGAGCCTGCCAACAGGAGGAAAGATCACAGCTTGCTTCCTTTCTCATCTGGCTGCACTGACCACTAAAATGCATTCATCTGCATTTTAAATCATACGTTTGCTCTTGATCTCCCTGGAAGTGGCTTAAACGTGTCGAGGTTTCCGCCCTGTGACTAAAAAGTGCAGCTCCAGGGCTTCGCTGCGTTTGCAGCTTTATGAAGCAGGCCGCCGGCGTGGTAATGGGAAGGCCGACAGCTCAGAGTTACAGAAAAATGTAACCCAATATCAGCAAATGAGGAACATAAATATATACTGAGAGGGAACCAGATGTTTCTAAACAAACTAATCTCCCTCTTTCCTTCAGAAACTCGGCCTCTTAGCTGGGAGGGGAATCAATGTTTTCCTTTGCAACTTTAATTCACTGAAAAGACTACTCACATGTCATTTCCACTTTTAATTTCACAAATGAGGCCTCTTGACTGAGCTAATAGCTTTTCCTCAAGGGCATAATTCAATCTGCGACATCAACCATCAAAGTCCCTTCGCATTACTACGTCCGGAGCTAACATGAGGCGCTGTGGGGTGGGGGGGTGCATGTCCAGTGGCAGGATCCATTTATTCTCAGTCCTGGCAGTAAACAGTAATAGAGCCGTTATAGAGGAGCAGCTTTCTGCCGTTAGAAGGTATCAAACAACGACGGCGGCTTCAGGAGCTGTTAGAACAGCTGTAAGACTGAAGAAAGGTCTAAGGAGCCGCTTGCTTCATCTAGATATTTACTAAAGGTTTGCTAGAAAAGAAAATCTGTTAAAATAAAACAGACAATAAATCTATTAAAGAAAATGTATGAAATTCGTTCTAATCAGATCCAAAGCAGCTTCAAACTGCGGAGGATGTGTACCTTTGAAAATCTATATGCTCCGAGGGTCTAGATGAGTTAGATGCTGAATGAAGGCGGAAAGAAAAAAGTTTCAATTAAAAAGTATGACTGACTGCCCACAACAAAAGGCGAAACCCAAGACGTGGAGAAGCACCACATGCTATTCATTTTCTAAAGTGAATGGAGTCAGCGGGGAGGAGAGGGAAAAGTTCACTCAATCATCCCTCCATGAGCGACTCCTTCCTTTAAAAGCTTCTCAGCATCTGATTTCAGGAGGCAGTGTTGATAAGACCCCCCCCCCCAAAAAAAAAAAAAAAAAGTTCAGGAAGTTAAACTTTATATCAGATGATCTGGGCGGTGGGAAGGATTCAGCGCTCAGCAGGATGATCCTTCATCGTGTTTTCACTCATCCATCAATCAGCAAAGAATATTTATAATAAATTATTATTTTAAGCATAATAGAAAATCTATCAAATAAACTCCTAAAACTAAATCTGTTGTTTTTTACATATTTGAACATTTGTTTGAAAAAATAAAATGTATTCAATCAACATTTTCAATACAATGCGTTTATTTTTTACCACCTTTTGCTTTGTTCCTTACAGTTATTCATTCAGTGCTAAAGCTGCTCTTATCCAGCAGTAAACCATTATTCCAGACCAGGTGGGATTCCCGTGGAGCGCCATATTCTCTCCAGCTTCCTAGCATTTAGCTTCAGCTCTGCATTAAACCGAGGAGCCAGCTTTATATTCTTTGCTGCGTTGCTTGGGAGTGACGTAGGTCCGGGGGATGGAGGTATTGCTGCAGCTGTGCCTCCCGCCTGCTATAGGTAGGATTAGGACCCGGGTCCTTTGAGGGCCTTGAGCCATGATGGATAGGGCTTGGTGGTCTGTGGTGAGGAACCAGGGGTTTTCCAGATGGGATCTGGGATCTGGGAGAGGATCAGGTCTCTGGGGGTTCTCCTCCACTGGCCGTGCTCTGCCTTATGGTGTCCTTCTGAATCTTTGGAGGATCACTGCCTTGGTTGATGCTGGACTGTGTGAGTGTGACATGAGGTCTGGGACTTGGCCTCCGCCATGTGATGTGGGACCATAGGTGTTGTGGGCATGAAGGGAGCACCATACAGGACCCCCTTTGTCCCACCAGGGTCCGTTCTTTGGCTCAATCTCAAGTTCAGGAGACAATTAGGACTTTAATTGTCAACAAGAGACAAGAGTTTGGTTTCGTACTTTCTAGAAAATATCTGCATTTAGATTTTTAGACATAAACATCTACGCTCATCAGATGACCTCACATTGGCACAGAGAAACCAACCCCTGAAAGGGCCTTGGAGCGCGGGGCGCCGAGGCTTCTGGGTACGGAGGACGCACCAAGCACTGACGCCTTCCTCGTCATCCCGAACCCCGATCCTCACGCCAATTCTAAATACCCCACAGACCCACGGCCTGTTTGGGCGCCGAGGCTTCTGGGTAATTATTTTACCATCGGAACTGGAGGCCTTTATAACAATCATTTTAAAAGTGATGATAAAACACATTTAAATTTTTTTTCCGTAAAAATTCAAAAAAAATCCACTGGACTTGGTTTCCAAGATTTG